CTAATCCCTAAATCCCTAAACCCCGAAACCCCTAAACCCCTAAACCCCTAAACTCTGAACCCTAAACCCTAAATCCCTTAACCCCTAAACCCCTAAACCCCTCGACCCCTAAACCCTAAATCCCTAAATCCCTAAACCCCTCGACCCTGAACCCCTAAACCTTTTGTGGATGTGTGGAAGTGCCAGGGGGCTGACATCACTTGCGACTGGGAGCGCCGGGGGACCTGGCAAGGGTTGATTAGGGTTTAGGGTTTAGGGGTTTAGGGTTTAGGGTTTGGGGTCTAGGGTTGGGGTTATGTTGGGGATAAAGGAAAAGAAAATGGAAACTACTGGAACTATAGGGGTTATATAGGGTTTTGTAGGGATTATAAGGTATGTGTGTGTATATATATATATTGGGGTTATATGGGGATAATGCAAAAGAACAATGGAAGCTACGATGCTGGGTTATATAGGGCTTAATGAGTCTGGTAGGGTCCTTATCAATCGCGGCTGGGGCTCTCAAAATCCCATAATCATCAAGGGTGACTATGGCAGTTTAGGGTTCGGGGGAGGTGTAGGCTTTTAGGATTCAGGATGCAAAAATTCGGCCATACTGTTGATGGAGGAAATCTTGCACCACCTTAAGTCCCTAGAGTCCTAGGAATTACAATAGTTTAAGGCCCCTAGGTGCTGCAAGATGTCATCCATCAACAGTAGGGTGCATGGTACAGTACTTACTGGGCCTTATGTGGGCGTTTCCGAAAAAAGCAGGGTCATCCTGATATAGCGACACATACTGCGAGCCTCCTCGAAGAGCCTCCTCCCCATGGAAAAATTACAGTCCTACTTAACTCCTTGGGACTTAGCTTGGACTTTCAGTTCGCGGCTGAGGGTTTGCGAGGCGTGGTTCAGGGTCGCAAGGTAATTCCAATATTATAGGGTTTAGGGTTTAGGGTTTATAGCTTGGACCTTAGACCCTCAACCCTTTGGGATTCCCTTATATTCCTATTATAGGTAATTAAGGGTTTACCCTTAGTAGGGGTCCTAAGTGCCACGTAGTTAAGGGGACCCACAAAAAAAACATGACTTTCTTATTTACAACTGACGCAAAATGTGAAGGCTTGGAGCTTAGGATTTAGGGCTTCCGTGCCGTGAATCTAACATGGAAGCCCCACAGGGGCCTTACAAAGCCTGCTCTTCTTTGAACAGGGTTTTATGTTGGTGTTCATGTTAATTTTTCCATTTCTGACCCCCTCTTCTGTTGGTTGCTCTCTTTTTGTGGGGTCCTCCTGTTAAACATTATTCGAGAGCCAATAGCAACATGAGCTTTGGCAAGGACCGCCACAGATATTCTGGAAGTTGGACCTAGTTCAGGCTCCTCTTTTATAGGAATACTAGGAATACTCTGCATCATGAATTTTTTGGAACATCTATTAAGTGCAAGGGTAATGATGACCTCAGACCTGAGCGACCGGATGTAGATACGCTGCCCGGATCGGTTGACTCTTCAGCGCCTCAAAGTGATCACTCGAACCAATATCGCTAAAGCCTAAGCCCTGGGAACCCTCAGCCCTAAGCCCATAAGCCTTGAACCCTAAGCCCTTAACCCCTAAATCAAAAGCCCTCAAGCCCTGAGAACATTAAATCCGAAGCAATCAACGCCCTAAACCCCAAGTTCTGAGCGCAAAGCCTATCAAACCTCAGCTTCGGCACCACGTGCCAGTTCAAACGGCCTGAGCCCCTAACCATATCTATCCCCATACAGGGGGGGGGATGCCCACTGATTGATTGAGGGTTATCTGTTTTGAAGTCTTGGACCCCGAAAGTTTGAAGAATAATGGCCTTGTTGACTGTTGTTTGAAGGTTCCTGGCTATTATTTTAGCTAGTTTGGAGGTCCAGGTTATATTTTTGGGGGTTTATACCTTACCAGAAGGGTTCCCATATCGGGGCCTCCACCCAAACATCCCGAAGTCAGCCCGGTGACCCAGACAGTTTTGGGATTAGGATCACTAGGTTGAGGGTTGAGGGTTTCGGATTTGAGGTTTCAGGGATTAGGGGCCTATAGGGTTTTCACTCTGCAGCGTTTAGGATCTAGGGCTTAGGTTTTGGTATCCGAAATAGGGCTAACCCCGACCTTACCGCAGCACAAGACGGCAAGGCTTTGGCGTTGAGCTGATCGCGCGTTTGCCCAACGGCAACTTGGATGGTTTAGATACCCGGTTCGGGGTCTTCTTGCAAGAATGTATCTTGAAGTCAAAAGTCCTTTCGTAATCCCAAAACTAAGAATAAGCACACTATAAAAGTCTAGCGTCCAGCTCCCTGCAAGCGTTGGGTCTGCTGCAGGCCATGTATACAATTAGGCAGTCACTGTCGGAAGTTGTTGAAGCCACCTCAGAAAGTGCCAGGGTGGCCCAAACAGCACTGGAGATTGCAAATATGCATTCCTCGAGCCCTCCCTTCAATCCGCATTGCGGTGGGTTTGCCTGCCTTAGGTAGCTTCAGATAAGGATCTACCATGTAAGCCCGCAGGTTGAGCAACCCTTCTTAGCAGATTTGCAAGTTTCTGAGCCCTTTCAAGACCAGTCTGCCTCTTTCGGGTTTATCGCTCTAGGGTTGGCTCCATTTTAAGGTGCCTTGTTGACTGGGGGGATTTTTTCAAATTGAGCCGGTCTAGACTTGTGTGCAGCAATCCAGCCTAGACTCGCACATCCTCAACCCAAAGCTCGTAAACCACGACCAAACTGTAACGACCTGACCCGAGAACACCTTCAATGGCGGCTTGCGACCGACATTTGGTGGACCTAAACCCTAAACCCTTTTATTCCATGCTTTGGAACTGAAGGGGTCCCCATGCCAGGAAGCCCCAAACACAACCCTACGTCAAGCCCTCAACCCTACAGTTTAAGGGTTTAGGGTTATAGGGTTTAGGGTTAAACCACCAAGCCAGGGCTGCTTTCTCAGCAAGCATGATTTCGGCTATGTTTCTTGATGGCAGCCCTGAGTACTTGATGTTGGGGATTTCCTAAAATTAGGTGTACCTTTTTGGGGGTCCTCAACGGGTCTATATTGGGGTCCCCTATTTTGGGAAATTACCATGTTTCGGCACCTTGAACCTGTAGGTCAAACAAAGCACTAACGGAAGGGAATAGATCTGAGCAATTCCCAAACAAGCTCATACCAGTGATGTGATACATAATGTTGGACCCTCTTTTTGACACATAGACCCCCGCCCTCCGAAACGATTGGATGAACAGGGCCTAACCCCTCATAAACCTAAACCCTGTAGCCTTAACTTAAAACCCTAATGCCTAAATCCTAAACCTTAACCTAGAAACCGTAAACCCGAACCGGCAACCTTAAAGCCTCGACAACGGCTACTCGGCCACCCACGGTTCTCAGGGCCCTGGGGATCGATCTGGGTTTCGCTAGGGCCTCAAAGTCAAAACAATTTGTAAGGGGGCCTGTGATTACCCGTGGTCCTGATCGAGGGGCCCTCACACTCACAATATAGGGGCTAAACCTTGAATCCTAAACCCTAAAACCTGAATCCTAAGCCCTAAGCCCTAAGTTGCAGAAGGATGACACATCCTCCACCCCCTGCTAAGCACTTCGCTGAGCTTTACTGCTAAAACCTTGAACCCCGAAGTCCAGGCTCTAATTAGGGTTTGGAGTTCAGGGTTTATAGGGTTTAGGGGCGATCCTTGCCTAAAAGTAACATTCAACCCCACAAAACCAACGTTTAAATTGGAAAGTTTTTTTCTTTTTACGCGGCCCGATTAGGGGGTTCCATGTTGGTTTGGTCCTTGAACTTTGAATGGGAACACAATCCTGGACCCTAGACCCTACTTGGAGGCCAATGGACTTATAGGGGTTACCCCAGATATAAGAAGGGTTATAATGCTAGTTATAAGTACTTACTAAGTCCCATGGGCCTCCAAGTAAACCCCAATCCCTGCACCTTGCACTCCACACCCTGATCCTGACTTACATGGTAACGCTGAACCCGAAGTCCGGCGTGATAGGCAGATTATATGGTGTCCGCGTGAAGGATGCAGAGGCAAGCATCTTCCGCTAAGACTTGTTTTAGGGTTTAGGGGCTTAGGGCTTAGGGTTGAGGGTAGAGGGTCCTCTTGTGGGAGTCCCGCGGTACGATATGTAAGTATATTCGCCTAGCTCCCCACATGAGCATGTCCTTGATACCCCAAACCCTAATCTTTGCACGCCCTGCATACCCCATGCCCCCGCTTTGAAGGGATCCCCAACTCTTGGAATCTGCCGGAGGGTTTAGGGTTTAGGGAGGCCTGAAAATGTCCTTAATACCCCTACTTGTAGCTTTCGGGACCAGTGATGCTGGGTCAACGTAGACATGCCAGCCTCAAGTGTGAGCAGCTTCTGTATTAGAGAAGAACTTGTAACAAGCGGTTAAGAGTTAGTGCTAGAAGCCCCAAAAAAACCAGGTGAATAATCAAACACTCCAAAAACAGATCCTCATGCCTGAAGTCCCAAACTGCAAATGCTCCACCTTACCGCTTTCCTACTAGGTTCCTGAGGACCCTCCCTGCAGCGGGTTTAGGCTGTAAGGCCTACAAGGATCAAACCAACCCCAAACGACCGTTTCAATTACTTACTGGTCGTTAGTAGGGAATATGGGGATATGATCTCTATATATCCCCTATACATTATATTCCCATGCTCCATACTAACCACCAAACAGATTATTACTTCAACAAATTCAACCAGAAAACCTGACCCCATTTGGCTGGAGGCTGAAGGGCCTTTAGCATGACATTTTGCCATATGGCAGCAGTTTAGGGTTTAGGCTTTAGGATCCAATGTTCACGTTCTGCTCGGGCCGGTTATGAGCAGAAGCTGGACCGGCGGGGCGACTGGCCTGTGTGTGGATTAAACCAAGCCCTAGATGCCAATCATTTAATATCTATAAGTTATACACACCCTATCTTAAACCTTCTGCCTTGAATCCCAGCGCTCAAGCCACAAACCGGCAGGGCTGGGTCCTGGAGCACGAGCGGAAGAACGGCTGGGCGCATGAGATTGAGCCGGAGAAGTCGGGTTCACAGTTGGGGTCTGGGTGTGATGTAAATTTTTGGGCTTTGGGGCTTTGCTTTACACACGTTCAGGGCGTTTGAGGGGAGCGCATGCGATTTGTTGTGGGGACCATGTGGAGTCCGTCACAATCGCATGCGGATTTATCCGGAAGGTACATGTGAATTTCCCTGGATTGGTGAACTTTTGTACTGCTGGTGCTTGTCTTGTCTACCGATGACTGCTGGAGGTTTACATTGCCTTGCATGGAGTGTGTGTGCGACTTCTAGGGTATATGCAAGGCTAGCAGGGGCATTTCATGCGGACTGTAGAGGCGAATCAAATTTGGATGATGTTGCTCCATGTTTAGAAGCTTGGTTCAGGAGTTCTGGGTTAGATTAACTGTTTGCTTGCTTGGTGTTTTGTCGTTTTCACTTTGCGATACTGTTGAGGGCCATTACCACGGATTTCAGGAAGCACAGGCAGGCTTTTCATCAGTTTAGGGCTGAGGGTGCCTTTTGCTTTGAGCTGAGGAGAGGAGGGGCTCCAGACATGCAACCACCTTGAGGGTTCTGGGTTTAGGGCGCCCTAAAACCCAATGCCTCAAAAAAACCAAGTCCTTTAAGCTCTATCATCGATTAGAAGATTTTGGTTATCCCAACCCCACTAGGACCTAGAGCTATCATACTGTTGATGGATGAAACCTTGCACCACCTGGGGGCCTTAAACTACTGCAATTCCTAGGACTTTAGGGACTTAAGTTGGTGCAAGATTTCCTCCATCAACAGTATCATTCTAAAAGGGCCCGAATTTGCAGTCTTGTGTTATTTTCCACTTTGCACTTACCCAAGCCCTCTGATGGCCTCATGACAGTCTCTGTATATGGAACACTAGCTGTCCATTTGTCATATTCTTTGCTTGGCGTCCCCTTGTCCGCCACGCGAGCTCGCCCTTGCAATTTGCGCAGTATCAGGTGCAAGTATCGTGTGTCTTCGAGCGCCCCTCGCGTCACACTCACCTTGGCAAAGAAGGACTGTGATCGCCGCATTTGAGGCTTGCATATTGGTGGTTGGTAGGGCTGCCGGAATGGATCCCAATAACAAGTAACCCTATGTAATCCTCAAGAAGGTAGGAGGTCATATGTGCTCTTCCATTTCCTGATGCCTGAACCTCCTGAAGCCCTAAAAGCTAAATCGCATAGATGGGCCTATGGTGGTTTCTTACCATGTCTTCATTTCCTGCCTACCATCCTCCACGCTAAGCCCTATGAAGCCTTCCAAGCCCAAATAACTAAACGCTGAACCCTGAACCCTAAACCCTAGACCCTAAACCCCATGTTCTAGCTTCGGATGAGACCAAAAAAAGCTTCGGATAGAGGAGAAATGGCACCCCCCTCCCCCCTTTCCCCCCCCCAAAAAAAAACACAACTTCTTCTTTATCCTTCCTTCATTCCCTCCTAACAACCATCAGAAATCCCTGAGCCGTTTAAATCACCAGAATCAATTTCATGTTCCAATTGCTTTTACATCTGCTTGGTCATCCTAGACATCACCCGTAAGCGTGAGTATGCCTGGCGGGTCAGGGGACTTAGTGAGGAATGGAAAGGAAAATGCCAATTGCTGTGTTGTTGGTGGTTTTTAAGGGGTCAGGGGGACTTAGTGAGCAGATTGAGAATGCGGATACCAAGGGTTGTTTAGTTTTTGAAGTACTGTAGAATCCTAAGCAACTAAGGGTCCCTAAGTCCTGCCCCTTTGGAACGCTTCGATAATATGTAAAATACATCCCCTCCAAGCCTTTTCTACCAATCTTGGCACTTACAATTTGCTTTCAATACTTTGAGAAGCGCTTGGAGGGTCAGGAGATTAGCAAGCATACTTGTACCCCTTCTAAGCCATATACTTAGCCCAGCTACCTCCATTATTATTATCCCCACTTACTAAGTCCCCCTGACACACCAAGTAAGCTTCCTGGAAATCCTCAGAAGCGGGACGTTCAGGAGAATTGCATGGAACATGAAATTGGAACAGGGGGTTTGGAGCATATACAGGGTCTCGGGTTGGGTAATAACAGGGCTTTGGTAACCCAAGCCCGCCAAATTCAGGATGTTATTGCAGTCATATTATCGTTCTAGATTCCTCGTTTCAGGGCTGGACTAACGAAAGTCCTAAAATCAATGTTTGGTTGGTTAGGAACGCTAGGAAGCATGCACCTATAGGCATTTAACTTCTTTACAATAAGAACCCCTGCCTCAATATTTAAGTGCTTGGGTTTAAATGCTTCCTAGTCCCCCTAAGTTGGGAAAGCAGGTTGTCGGATCCAACTGTTGAGCTCTCGCCTACAAGTTGCGATTTCCTTGGCCCGGAAGACGCCCAGTACCAGCCCTAAACCCTTGGTACCCAAAGGGTCCATGTAGGTACATGGTATATACTTAGGGCCCAAAGGGGTTCCCCTATACCTACTTTAAGGGCCAAGTATATACCATATAGCTACACGGACCCTTTGGGACAAAACTGCTTCCTAAACCTTCAACTCCCAACCCTAACCACGAACCCGGACTCCTGTACTCCGAGCCCTGACCCTGAATTCTGCAGGGCCTGCGAGGTTATCGAACTCTGACTCACCAATCGTTGTTTTTTTCTTTTATCATTGATGCCTCCTGCTAGGGATTGGGATTAAAGGTTTTACGGTTCAAGGTTTAGGATATGAGCTGCTGTCAGTATTTGGGTTCCCAACGGGCCATTATGTGTGGAAATGGGGTTCTTCTTGGTAGTTCAGTATAGTCCCTCATTTGCTCCTTAATAACGAACCCATGTCCATTAACTATCTGTGACGTATTGACTGTAGCTCATATATCGTTTCAGGTCTCAGGCTTTGGAGACAATCCTGGAGATTCGCCTACGGTCTCGTCTGGTTCCCTCTCTAAGCTCAAGCGCTACGTATGATATTCTACTACTCTGGGACGGAGGTACTGCCCTAAACCCTAAACCCAAAATACCGAACCGAGATGCAATTAAACCCATCGGTGGCAGGACGAAAAAGAGAAGTGGTACGAGCTCCGGAAGAAAGACATCAGAGCCTTGCCCCAACTACAATAGGGTTTAGGGTTCAGGGTTTGGGGCTTAGAGTTTAGGCAATACCTTAAGGGTCCAAGTAGCCAATCAAGAGCTACTTGGTGTTATGATGATAGTAACTGTAGCACAGGTCTTCGGGAGGTAGATGATCGTTACTCTGGGGCGCCAATACCTACAGTAGGCCAAATTCTATGAATTGTATGCAATTTGGGCTGGTGGAGTCTCAGCGTTATTGTTACGATAGGTACTCGTGCCTACGGGCTCACGTAGACCCTAGGCTCTAAACCTTAACTGTCTTAGGCGCCGAGGACTTAGAGGAAGAGACACTTGGTCAACCCTAAGCCCTAAACCCAAATGAGCTCCCGTACTGCTCCTGGCATCTGCGAATGTCCGAATTCCCCATCGTCGCTATACACAGAGAAGACTCCTCTTCTCGTGGGCGGTTGAGGAAGTGGGGCTTAGGGTGCTCCAGAAGGAGAACCCAAAGGGTCTATGTAGGTATATGGTATATACTTAGGGCCCCAAGGGGTCCCCATATACCTACTTTAAGGGCTAAGTATATACCAAAGAGTTACATGGACCCTTTGGAGAAGGCTGAAGAAAAAGCAGCCGCCCTTAGGGCTCAGCGTTTTTTTGTTAAAGCTCTCCGGGTTGAGGGTCCAACCGTAAACCCTACTTGGAAGGTCAGGGGGACTTAGTAACTAGGTTAATAGTGGGGATAATTAGGGTTACTATATGGGTTATAAGTTATAGGGGTTTATTAACCTACTTACTAAGTCCCCCTGAACCTCCAAGTAAACCTTATGCGGCGTAGGGCTAAGGTCTTCATCCCAAACTTTTAAGCCCGTAGTCCTGAAAGAGCCAAGGGTCTACCTTCTGATGACCCGATGGCTACTGAGATCGCACAAATATGAGCCACAAAGGCTTAGGGTTTAGGAGGTTTAGGGCTCAGAATGTTAAGGTTAAAGGGCTTCGGGGTGTAGAGTTTAGGGCCTACAGACTATGGATTTGGGCCCAGAAGTTTGGGTTTGGTGTGCTAGGGGTCACTAATATAACCCCTTATCCAAACCCGAAACGCTATATAATCGCATTATAGTAGTTTCCATTTTCATTTCCATTATCCCAATATTACCCCAATATAACCCCTCATCCATAAACCCCAGGTCCTCCTTTAGCAGTCTATAGTCCAATTGAGGGCTATATATAACCATATTATGATTATTATCCAACTGTTACTAAGTGGGGGCAGTACCCAAGATTTGGGCCTAGAAGTTTGGGTTTGGGGTGCGGGGGTCACTTGTACAGCATGGAGGGCACCTCCGAGGACTCACGCTGGACGGCTTGGATTGGTTCTACGAGATTGGAGCATTGAGTTTAGGGCTATTTAGGTTTTTGGATTTAAGGGTTTAGTGTTAAGGATTTTAGGGTTTAGGGTTAAGGATTTAGGATTCAGGGTTTGTGGTTAAGGATTTAGCTTTTAGGGTTAAGGATTTTAGGGTTTAGAGTCAAGGATTAAGGGTTTAGGGTTGAGGATTTAGGGTTTAGGGTTAAGGATTTAGGGCTTAGGGTTAAGGGTGACGTGAGGGTTGAGGCACTTTTTGCCCCTATCCTCCAAAGGAAAATGTGCAATACCCTTGTTTGAAAGCTTCACGATATTTGTCTCAGAGCTGGAACCCCCTCAAGCCCTAAACCTAAACCCAAAACCCTAAACCTTAAACCTAAACCCTTAACCCTAAACCTAAACAAAAATCTAAACCCTAAACCCAACCCTTAACCCTAAACCTAAACAAAAACCCTAAACCCTAAACCCTAAACCTTAACCTACACCCTAAACCCTAAGCCTAAACCCTAAAACTACACCCTAAACCTTGAACCTAAACCCTAAACCTAAACCCTAAACCCCAAGCCTAAACCCTAAACCTACACCCTAGATGCTAAGCCGCTTTTCTAGCAAGACCCGAGAGGCTGCTCTGGAAGGTTTTAAGCTTCTAGGTACCCCAGTGGTAACGCGGTTAAGGGTTTGGGGTTTAGGGTTTAGGGTTTCCCTTTTTATCTTGGGTTCTCCTTACCAAAGCTGAATATTAGGAAAAAGGGTACCCTTGTTATTAGGGTGTTACTGGGGAACCTATGCTAAGGGAAAGCTCACAATGCGGTACCTGGCTTTAAACTTACGATTCCTTAAGGGTTCTACCAGGGCCCCCATAGTAGGTAAAGTAATAACCCGATCCCCCAAATAAGGCCATTGTTCTACACACATTTGTTATTCTTCAGGTATTTATTATCACTTTACATCCCCATACAGCCCTAAACCCTGACCCCTATACCCTACGGAAACCATATTTCACGGTACAACCAGACCCCACTCCATTGTCTCATGCTGGTCAGGATCCTGCACGCCTCAGGGTTTAGGCTTTAGGCTTTAGGATTTCAGGTTTAGGGTTCAGGGTTTAGGCTTTAGGCTTTAGGATTTCAGGTTTAGGGTTTAGGGTTGAGGGTGCTGAAGCCCTAAGTCAGACCCCCTCCTCCAGTAGCAAGAGCCTTCACACCTCTGAGAATGAATCTGCCCAAACGAGCGCAAAGTACATGATGAGGAATACCATTTGGGCGTAGAGAACTGATGGTGTAGCTTACGCTAGCTGCTCAGTCTTACCCCCAACCCTTGACCCTCAACCTTGAATCCTAAGCCCCAATAAAAGGCTGTATTTACACGCAGGATTTCCAGCGACAGGTCGGAATCTCCTAACTTTCACCAGAAGGCTTGAAGCCTGGACACAGCCCTGGGTTAAATGGTTTAGGGCCTGGGGTGCAGGGTTTGCGGCTACAAATTTAAGGCTTGATCTGACATTTGAGCCACCCTTTCCTGTTGTGGGTGCACAATGAATCAGTTTCTAAAGAGAAACGAATAAAGACTTAAAAAAAGCCAGTTGCCCGTCGGAGTATGTTGCCACACCACAGAAACATGAATATAAGCAAAACCCCATAATATGAGAGGTCCCTCCTAAAACCCTGGAGACCCAGTAGTAGTGACTATAAGGGATAGTGGTGATTATATTCCGTCCTCTTATATTCCTATTACACCACTATTACAGGGTGGAGGGTCCACCTTACTTGATAGGTCAATCTAGGCCCATGTCAGTTTGGCTTTTCTTTGGCATGTACATCAATGCAACCTCAGAAGGTGGGGTGAAGGTAGGTGGGTTGATCGCCTCTATATATATATATATACGCACACTATATTGGGGCTTGCTTCCTACCCCCCACCTTCCTCTCCCCATTTGTTCAGCTCTGTGAACATCGCGTGCAACTACATCTCAGAATGCAAGGATCCCCCCTACTTGGAGGGTCAGGGGGATATAGTAGGTTTATCACCCGTATAACCCATATAGTAACCCTGAATATCCCCATTTTCAACCTTCTTACGAATTTCCCCTTGCTCTCCAAGTAAGCCCTATAAACCTTGAACTGTAAGCCCGAACAGGACCTTTCTGTGCCAGATGCCATGTATTGGCAACATTCGCATATGCGTTTAAAATTTGGAGTTTACTGGTTTACCTGTGAGCCCCGTACCCTACATGTTTCATGTTCTGTGCCTGCTACATATTCAGAGGGTACCTGTTACTAAACTAGTTCTGGCTACACATAGGGGGGTGCCGAGTCATGAGACAGCCATTGATGCTTGTTTTCTTGCTGGCTCCTTTAAGGATGCTGTGGTGGGTGCGTAAAGTGTTGACGCTCCAAGATCAAGTAGATCCTTAGGGGCTCCAAATTTTAGGGTCCTTCCTTAGGCTCAAAATCTATAAGTAACATTCACCTTGGGCCGCAGAGTCTGTAGATACTACCTACATCGGGCCTTGAAAATAAAGTCTATGAATACTACTTGCATTGGGTAATTTGGATCCCTAGGGCTTGGCATAATTCCCTTTAAAGGCTTGCGGTCCAACCCTAAACCCGAAACCCTAAACCCCGTACCCTAAACCCTAAACCCCAAACCCTCAAGGAAGCCGCCCTCCAAGAAGTTTTAAAGTCCGGGTTGCAGGCCTCCGCCACAGAGAGACCATTCACAGAAAGCTTGCTTTGACCTAAAAAAGCAGGCTTTATAGAGTTTAAGGTCTAGGGGATTGCATATCTTGCCCGACACAAGCTTCGGCGGCTAGGCAGCTAGGCCTGCCTGTAACCTGGGCTTACTGGGAGGTTCAGGTTTTTTGGTAGTCTTGTTAGCATCCGCACTTGTTTACAGCAATATCTTGAAGTAGCATCCTTGTCAAGGCTGTTTGGACTCGATGTTGAGTTTGCCATCATAAACCAGTAGTTCGAACATGTCTGGACCCTCATACCCCGCCTCCTTTTTTCCTCGAACGTGTCTGAACCCTCATACCCGCCTCCTTTTTTTGGAAGCGTTGCTAACTTTGTATACAGAATTAGAATCTACTGGCCATGAAGTCAAGTACGCTGAAAACAGGGTAGTGTACAAGGTCTGGGTAATGGCGCAGTTGACATGATAATGGCAAGAGCGCGGATGCCTTTACAGAGTGAGAGCTGTAGTCATGGTTCTAGCGGCGCTTTGGTTCACATGACAATGGTGGTGCAACCACCTAGACCCTAAACCCTAAACCCTAAATCCCAAACCCTAAATCCTAAACCCTAAATCCTAAACCCTAATTCCTAAATCCTAAACATGACAGGAACAGTGGCAGTTCAATTCTCAGAGCAAAGACGTTCAGGATCGACTCATCCCCCCGCTTCCACAATTTAGGGTTTAGGGCTCCGTCCCCAGCAACAAAAAGAGTTACCTGAACCCCAAAAGTATGTAAAATAATGGCCTTTATGGCTATTATTAAGGGTTTAGGGCTACAATTTTACCTACTTTTGGGGCCCAGGTATGGATTACCATTAGATATTGGAGAGTCATTTTGATTGTAACAAGAAGAGCTATAGATTACCATTAGATTTTGGTGCTTCATTTTGATTGCTAGAAGGCTTCTGGGAGCTTGTTATTCGGGGGAGAGGGCTGGGGCCTGGCAGCACAGCATTTCGCCTCCGGTGTTTCTGCAGACATCTGTTGTCCACAGCTGCAGAGTCCGCTTCGTGAACGGCAACAAACCATGCATCAGCAGCCATCATGTCACGGAACACTTCCAGAACTAGACACCCATCACTCCAGGATAGCAGGCATGGCCCAGACATTGAGTGGAGAGCGTAGGCACAGAGGAAACCCTTGGGCGCCATGTACGTTCAGAACCATTCGCAATCCCAAGCCCGGCCTGGGTAGCTGGACGGTATTTAGGGAGGGGTATACGAAGGTTAGCGTTTTAGACTATAGTAGTTTCCCTTTTCTTTTCCATTATCCCTATATAACACAAACACTTAACCATAAACCATATATAACCCCATTATAGTAGTTACCATTTTCTTTTCCATGATCTCAATATAACTCCAAGTTTGGAGTTTGGGGATTTTGATCCTGTTGGGCTTGGGGTGCAGGGGTTCAGGGTTTAGGGTTTAGGGAGGGGTTCAGTGTTGTTCTGGCTCAGGGCGCCGGAGCTTTGTCAAAGCACGTGTCCTGTCTTGCAGAGGAATCTCTGAACACGTTTGTGCACATGTGAGTAATACTTAATTGAAGGTTGATCAAAACAAAACAGACAAGAAGTCAGAATTAGCGTTTTCAATTAGCGTTTTCCATTTTCTGGCTTTTGTCATGTTCATATGACTTGCATTGGTTTCTGGGGCTACTGTGCGGCCGCAGATAATACAGGATGTGATTGGAACCCAATTGGCCCTTATCATTCATCAAAGCAAACGAAGTTTCCCCTGAAAATTAAGTCCCCAAGCTGTTGTCATCAGATGGAGGACGTTGCTGGCTATTAGGTGACCCGATCTTTG